CTGTTCCTATTCTTTCCAGCATCCTTTCTTATAAGAAATTATTATGATGGAATTAAAGTATATAGCAATAATACTATGACGGAATTCTTTCTACACTTTCCTCAGTTATTTATGTGCATATACATTACATACAGTTTTCTGTTGTTCTTTTCTCCCATAATTCACCTCTTTTCTGATAAAAGTATGTATTTTGTAGAATGTACCATGATTTCTTACTAATGGACTTGAAGATTGTCAGCCTAAAGACTAAGGTGCACCTGATCCAGGCCATGATCTTCACAACTACTTGCCATGAATTAGAGCTTGACAAAGACCAAGAATGGCAATGGCCAATGATGTTTTTGAGTTGTGACACTGGAGTATTGAACATACCATGGACTGCAAGAAAACTAACAAGTATGTCCAGGAGCAGGTGAAACCAAGCTTCTCCTTGAAGGCAAGGGTTTTGAGACTGTCTCATATACTTTGGGCAGGTAGCCAGAAGGGACCAGTCTTTGGAGAAGGATATCATGCTTAGAAGGGTTGAGGGACAGCGTGGGAGAGGAAGATCCTGGATGAAATGGATTGACACAATAACTGGGGTAAAAAGAGTAAGTGTGTCACATAGTGAGACTGGCCCAGAATAGAGCAGGATTCTGAGCTTTTGCGCATAGAGGTCGCTATGAGTCATAGTAGACTCAATAGCACATAACAATTATCAACATTCAGATTATTTCTACCTTTTCTATTTTAAAGCCAGTATCATAATGACCATCAGGATTTGGTGGAAGAATCAACAACCTGTGTTATGCGGATGACACAACCCTGCTTGCTGAAACTAAGGAAGGACCTGAAGGGCTTGCTGCAGGTCAAGGACAACAGTCTTCAATATGGATTGAAGCTCAACATCAAGAAGACAAAGATTCTCACCACTGGGCCAATTGGCAGCATCAGTATGGATGGTGAAGAGATCGAGATAGTTAACAGTTTTAATTTACTTGGTTCCACAGTCAACACTCTTGGTAACAGCGGCCAGGAAATCAAGAGACAAATTGCACTGGGAAAGTCAGCTGTGAGGGACCTCGCAAGAGTACTGAAGTGCAACGACGTCAGGCTGGAGACTAAGGTGCACCTGATCCAGGCTATAGTCTTTGCAATTACATGCTATGCATCAGAGTTGGACAGTGAATAGGGATTGATAGAAAGAGAATTGATGCCTTTGGGGTGTGGTGCTGGAGAAGGGTGTTGAATATACCATGGACTACTGCTAGAACAAACAGGTTTGTCCTGGAGAGAATAAAGCAGGAATGCTCCTTGGAGTCAAGGATTCTGAAGCTTCGTCTGACATACCTTGGGCATGTTGCAAGGAGGGACTGGTCATTGGAAAGGAACATCATGTTTGGGAGAGTGGAGGGACGGCACAGGAGAGGAAGACCCTAGATGAGATGGATTGATTCTGTGAGTGGAGTGGAGGGAATGAGTGTGTTTGAGACAGCAAGGTTGGCACAGGATAGACCAGAGTTTAGGGCTGTTGTACATAGGGTCGCTATGAGTTGCAAGCAATTCGATGGCACATAACAACATCATAATGACCATATTTTTAGGTGCATCTTTGCTCACATGAAAGTTCATCTGAGGATAGTGTGAAGGAAGGAGTCAAAAAGCAGACCTTTGAGGTTGGGGGAGTGGTGCAGGGGAAAGAAGGCAGGTGACATCTAAAATCCTGGGAATGTGTTGGAACTGGAAGTCTTTATCTATGGAATGCTCTTTAGGGTAGGGATGTTATGTATAATTATGTAACTATATGGATTTGTGTACACTTTTTGCTGTTATCCATCCTATCCCTCCTTTATATTGAATTGTCTTGTTGCAAAATATCATAGAATAATGGTGAAATATGTGGGAGTTCTGGTGGTCTACTGGCAAGAAGCTGCACTGTAATCCCAAGGGCATGTGGTTCAAGGCCACCAGCTGTTCTGTAGGAGGATGGGCACTATCCTCTTGTGTGATTAACTGCCTCTGAAAACCACCAGAGGGTCAGCTATGGATCGATTCCAACTCTATGGTACACACCACCACAAATGTGGATTCTAGTGTCTAGATTTGAATTCAGATCTGCCACTTGCTAAGGGACCTTTCAGATATGTTACAATTTTCACATCATAGATGAAATGATGATTGAGATCATGCAGGCAAGAAACCAGAATGATGCCTGGTAGATAATTTTCAATAAACAATAGCCAATTTTAGAAGCTCTTTCTATATTTTGCACATTAAATTCCAATTGTGAGATACTTTCTCCTCAGTAGTTCGCTTGGAGAGATTAAGTCAGCCATTCCTTGCTACCATGGCTCTTGCTGAGGTCTGATTTTGGTTGTGTTTTTAGCCTGATTGTTTTAACTGAATCAACTGTTCCAAATTTCAATTCAAATTTGTCCCATGACTTGGTAATCAGTATTTTCAGATTCATCTTTGATTTTTCAGACATTGATAGATGTCAGTCTTACTTTTTTTTTCTGGGGACAATTACTACTCTTTTTCACATTTTCCCTGCAAAACAGTGCTCCTTTTTCTTCTTCCTTTCCCACATCATGCTCTCTAGATGATCATCTCCTCTCTACAGCCCCCTTACGCAGAACTCCAGATGATTCTCCAGTTTGTGAGCCAAGTCTAATGATGCTTAACAATCACTTTAACATAAACTTCCAAACTTGAACTTCATATACACTTTGTATATTCCAAGATAAGTGATCTTTAAGGTTAACCTTTAAAAAATGTTTAACTTCTAACAACATACCTGCGATATTTTTGTATGAACAAAAGAATGTGAGTCTTTATAAGGAGCTCTGTGGGGCAATGTATATAACATGCTGGCTGCAAAACAAAAGATTGGCAGTTTGAATCCACCAGCAGCTCACCAGGGGCAAGATGGGCCACTTCCTCCCATGAAGACATACAGCCTCCGAAACCTGATGGAAGAGTGTGAGGTGCTGAATTTGACTCGACTGTAGTGTGTGGGGTTTGCATATGCACAGAATCACCGTGCAAGACAGAAAAACAGACAAAAAGGGTTTGTCTATTGGGTGGGAAGCAAGTAACCAGAGACAAGGGAAGAAGACTTGCTTTTCACATTTTTCTTTATGTCTTTTAAATGTTGTACTATGATTGTGCGGTCCACTCAAAATTAAATACATTCCTACAAATAAACAAGTAAACCAGTTGCCATTGAGTTGACTCTGACTCATGTGACCCCACGTGTGACAGAGAACTAAACACCATTGGGTTTTCAATGGCTTATTTTTCAGAAGTTGATTGCCAAGGCTCTGAGTAAATTCAAACCTCCAGCTAGTTGGTAATCCAAGTGTTTGCACTACCCAGGGACTGTGGTAAGGAGTTCTGCTGCCAAACCAAAGGTTGAAATTCGCACAGTTCAAATTTACGAGCTGCCCTGAGAGACGAGGATGGGTAATCTCCTCTTGATTGATTTACTGCCTCTGAAAACCTGCCAGAAGGTGAGCTATGGGTCAGTTCCAATTTGATGGAAAACAACAATTCATTTGGGCTAGTGATGTCACTTTCTACTGGTTCTTGCTAACAACTTGGAATCATCCTCTATTCCTTCAAGTGCACATCCAGTTATCATAGTCTGTTCAAATTCCTAGAAATGGATACTGCATCTGCCTATTCATCCAACAGTGACCCTGGAATAGACAATAAGCTAGAGATAAAAAGATAAACGAGATGCACTCCCAAGAGGCCCAAAGGCTAGCCAAGGTGCACATTTGAACAGTAATTCTGAAATAATGGATTTTTAAGCCATTTACAAGTATTTATTTAGGTGAAAAGGCATAAAATAGATTTTTTTTTATAGTACACACAAGGAAAAAACCACATTCAAATAGACAAAAGAAATGACAAGAGCTGACAGAATTTAGTGTTTATAAATGAGGTCATCAAAACTTTAACAACTTAGAAAAGAAAGTAAAAGCGTATTTAAAAGTGAGACCGTGCTTTGCATATTTTATACAAAAAAAAAAGGTATTAGGCTTCTAAAGGTAGTATGTGACTTAACTGCTTTTCGAATGATTTAAAAATTTTCCAGAAATAGTTGTATATGAACATTAAAAAAAAAAAAAAAGACTAGAACTTTGGCAAATAAAGTATTAGTTCATAGCAGCTTTTATATATATATATATAGACTCTTCAATTTACATTTTTTTGTTACAAGAGCAGAACCAATGTACCAAGTATATTTGAGGAATAATAAACTATGTAGCAAAAGTTATTTTAAAAAAGCTTGAATTCTACAAAAATGTGTATCATATTGCATACACAGTAACTGAGTAAACCATGTGATCATTAACTATAAAATATTTAACCCCAACTCTCACTCAATATCCCCCACCTCTACATCTCTTTTTGAAAAGCAGTTTCAAGCTTTAAACTAATATGTATTTGCAGTTTTAAGAGTTCTTCTCACCATTATTAAAAACATTTGCATAAAATCCCCTGGAAATTTTCTTTAGCACTCTAACAATACACATCATGATCAAAAATGATCACACCCTTTGGGGATGTGAGTGAGGTGGGGAAGTAAAGTACCAAGACTACAGCAGTGACCACAAAAGCCCAAGGTTTCTGCTTCCAGCTCCCAGAAGCTCTTTCTACTTCAGGACCTACAGGTCCAAGAAGACAACTCAAAGTTTCTTACTTTCAAAAGAAGTGTCATGGAGAGCTGACTGAATGCATAGGAAAGTGAGGTTTTTAAATTAAGATTTTTAAAAATCAACTATAACAGATTTTCTACCTATCATTTATGAGTGACAAAAAAGGCTGAAGGTTTACAGAGAAGATATAAATACTGCATAATATGTAGTGAATATTGGCACCTGCCCTTTTGCATTTAAAGCACAGAATACAATCAGCAAATCTAACACTCTTCAGTGTATTCTCTTAACATCCATTTATGACATAGCTCAAAACCCCTCTACGTAGTATGGTGGAAGGAAACGTCCCACAGTCTATGGGTTTCCAATAGGCTTGTAGCAAGCATCAGGTTGCCAGAGGCGAATATCAACAAGAATTTGATTGAGTTTTTGCATCCAGAGATCCCGTTCTTCTTTAGTATCTGCACAGAGCCAGTTCCTATGAGGAGAGAAAAAAACCAATTAGGATTCTTTTCCTCCACTCTACAACTCTATGCATGTCCTCCATGAAGGTGACAAGGGGAAGAGGGAGGTATTAAAGCTAACCAATCCAGTACCATTTTCTAACAGATGCTACTGAATTCAGAGCTACCTCAAGTGTGGGTCAAGTCCAGTAAGATAAATGCATCTCCATTGTTTCGTCAGCTGAATCCTAACTCATACTAATTATATTTGATAAGTGGAGGAATTTCCACACTGAAGACAGCAACTTGCAATCCTGCCAGGCAATGCGATGATGGAGACATCAGTGTCGCTCTAAGGTATCACTGAGTCAGTGCTAACTCACAGTCATTCTACATCCACCAGAGCGAATCCTCATCTGATCCTGCTCCACTCAGTGTGTGCAATTTCCCAGCAAGAGCACACTAGGCCTAAAGCGGGGAGCATTCAAATATCTCTGAGATTCAGGTTCCCCAGTAACTGGAATCACAGGCGCACAGGTATTACCCAGCTCTGCAGGTAATAGTATGTTATACTGCCTCCATTATTTTTGTCCTACACTCTTCCCTCTCTCCTCCCTCCATATCATTGTCAGGAATCTCTTCTTTCTATGCCTATTTACCTAAAAGTTTAATAATTACATACTTAAGTAGGTAAAGGTGGGAAAAGAGTGTGAATTTCCCAATTCCAAACACGAACTATTCTTGTAGAGAACAAGCTGCTAAAATATTTGTATCTATACTCATTCTGCCTGTTTATCACTTCTTCCCATTTAGCACTACTAGAAATGACATACACATTAATAAGCAGGGAGTTTATCATCTTCTATTACTCAATGGACAAACAGAGAGGAAAAGTGAATACAACACCCACAATAATAATAGTGACCATCTATGGAAAGAAGCCACGAATAAGCAAAGCACTCCTTAAAAATAGAAAAACGGTAGGAGGCATCTCACTCCCTGACTTAAAATCCTACTACACTGCCATGGTAGTCAAGACAGCATGGTATTGGTACAATGACA